CTCTTGGGGGTTGGAAGGGCTATGTGATCGGTGAGTGAGGGAGTTATGCATATGCACGTGTCACACCAATCACAGTGTGGGTTTTATCAAAGAACGAATCAAAGAAAAAAAATAAGATGGTATCTACATTAATCTGGAGACGCGTCAGATTACTGTAGTTTGTTCACTCAAACATCTTATGGCTTACTATTTAGCTATCTTACCATTACCGATGTAACTCGTACGTACATCATAAATTCCCAGTTTCTTACTGTACAGCGCAACCAAAATAACTTGTCGAATTAACCAAATCATTACTGTAGACAGCTCCATGAATGCTCCTATCTCCGAGATTTCACAAAAAAAAAAAACTCTTGCACGGCTTGCGTGCCTATGTTAAACAAAAACCGTGAAAACGACAATTTGTGTGGCCGTTGATTAACAGTGGAATTTAATGAGTTAATCATGCTTGTAAAATATGTAAAATCTAAAGCCGTAAAGTAACCTAATGCACTCTGCGAGCAGAGCCTCTTTTATCTTGTTTTTGAGCGGATACAGATTTCCCTACCCTTTCACTTACCTCAGCTTGTGAAATCCCTACCTTTTTATATACGAGAAGCCTGAAAAAGGTAACCCTTTCGGGTGGAACATTATCGTATAGGCCATTATAGGGAGTATTCCCCGGGCCCCGGGAACTGAAATGACTGGGAAAAAATTCATTGAGATAACAGTGAAGCATGGGTAAGCCCATAGTTTAAATAGTGCGTCGTAAATCGCCAAATATTCCTTTTAATTCTTACCAACACAGGGGAACAACAGTCACTCCCTCCACACAGACACACACACACGCTCACCCCACACACAAGAAACAGCAGCTGTTGAAAACTTAACCAATCCCTCGCTAGTCCAGCCCCTGAACTCTCCTTTCTTCCTGCCCTATATAGGGGTTGAACCCTGGCGGGCGAAAGAGAGACTCTTTTCGTCCGCCTGGGTTTACCCCTATATAGGGCGGGAAGAAAGAAGAGTTCAGGGACTAGACTAATCCCCCACCTCTTAACATGCTTAATACATCAGGGGCAGGCGTTCATCAAATGTAAGTGATAAACAGATTACTGACTATGATACGTCATGTCGATTTCCACCAGCAGATGTGAAGTTCGCCAGAAAACTAAGAAAACTATCAGTATTTTCCTTTGAAAAGCAACCTGACATGATATGTATCCCCTTTCTCTTGTTCTGTTCCATATGCCTGGCTGAAGTTCGGTAACCCCTGCTTTCCCTTTGATATTTCCTTTTTCCGACTACAACATTGGAAGGCTATCTTAGCTTATCTTATCAGCAGTCTGAAATTTTTGCCCCACGTCGATCGCGCTTCGCGCTTGTGGTCGCGCTCCGCGCTCGTGTATCGCGTTTCGCTTTCTGCCCCGCTAATCTGCCTGTTCTGTAGGCTACACGTCGATCGCACCGACCGCTCTTTTTAAGTTCTTTGCTCAGTTGCTGGTTAGGAATTTATATATTTACGCATTAAGATTAAGATGGGACAGAATTCCTCCGTTGACTCGCTTTCCATATATTTAACTAAAAAGCCTGGAGAGTTGAGACCATCACGCCCGGGTTACGTCACTTACGAGGGAGTATTCGTTCAAATAAGGGTATTTTTCCTCACGTTTTATCTCTGACACGAGGTCAATAACCCCATATTTTGTATTACTGACACAAGTAACTCACGTCTGACAACAGGTAAAATTTTTAAAAACACTTTCTATAAAATTATTCCACAACATAGATACCACCTAAAAAAACACGTCTTAAAACTTTACTCCTCCTCCCTTGGATAAATTTAAACTGTTGCATAACAATGAAAAACAAAATCCCGGCATTGTTTCTATCCAAAAGCAAGCACATGCTTTTTCAGAATTGGAACTGGACACATGCTAGAATGGTAGTCTCATGAGAAAAACATCGGAAAATACAGTACCTGCCGACACAAAGTTAATTGGCATTTAGCCACTTTCGATTCTTACGCTGTTTGTGATTGGTTGTCTCTGTATTATCGAGAATCTTGATTGGATGACTTTTTATTGCTCCCATGACAATCCTTTGTTTAACCACGCGTCTATCAAAATTTCAAACTCGTAAATTCGGCAAAAGTGTTGAACGCACACCACAAGAAAATGTCTTCAGGGAAAAGGATCCTGTTATTTTGGCATCTTGTTGTATCTATCTACATTTCGTGGTCCGAAGCAAACTTAGGGGTTGCCGTGAATGATCCATGTTTCTCGAATCCTTGTTGGAACGCGGGAACTTGTGTGACGAACGGCTCCATGTTCACTTGTAGTTGTCCGCAAGGATTTAGCGGGAAGAAATGCGAATTTCATGTTACGCATTGTGCAGTAAACCCGTGTGTTAACGGCATTTGTAGACTAAGCAAAGATGGGCTGCCTGAGTGCTTCTGTACTCCTGGATTCACCGGAAAATTCTGCGACATAAACGAAGATGAATGTGCTTCGCTTCCTTGCAAGAATGGCGCTCTGTGCGTTGACGAAGTGAACGGTTACAAGTGCGTGTGCAAAGGCGATACCTATGGCCGTCATTGTGAAATTCATCAACGTGATATAATGCAGTGTGTTGCACGATGTGATGAAGAACCTTGCTGGCGGAATTACTCTGTTATTGTACCAGTGAAGTGGGGATATGGCGACAGTATCTGCAGCACAAGTCATTCTTGTTTTGGTGGTGAAAATGATACCGAAGCTGACTTGTACGACACATTTGTGGAAGTCCAGCTAAAGCCTTTGCAGATTCAACTGGGTGACACGCTTAATTTCACCGCTGACGAGGAAATTGTGGCTTATGTTGACGGATTTGTGCCTCATCACGTCGTTGCTGCAGACGGATCTTCTGCTTTCCGAGCCTGTAATGAAAGCAATGGAATTCCACTTGTAAATAAACCGACTAATAGTGTTGTTGTCGGTTTAGACATCTTAACGCTTGGGACAAAATATTTTATTGCGAATATGGACTCTACGTTTCGTTGCAACTTTGGTTTACGGCTAAATGTCAGCGTAAAAGAAAGCAACTGCAAAGCCCTGTCCGAAAGCGACATTTGTTCTGGCAGAGGACAATGCTTTACAAACTTCAGTTTACCAGACTTCCGCTGCAATTGTTGTGGTGGGTTTAGGGGTGAATTCTGCGAAAAGGTCGACTACTGTTTTTCGAAACCTTGCAAAAATAACGCTGTTTGTCAGAACAGGGAAAGTTCAATAGATGGTAGCACGCATGTGTGTATTTGTGAGCCTGGATATGAAGGACGGGATTGCTCCGAAATAAAAGATCTCTGCTTATCTTCTCCGTGTCTTAATGGAGGAAGTTGTGTTTCAGAGGTGAATAACTTCACATGTCATTGTGCGCGGGGAATCAGTGGCAGGAACTGTGAAGTGGATATTAATGAATGTGCATCCAGTCCTTGTGTTAATGGTGGCACCTGTGTGGATGGTGTTGGGTCATTTTTATGCCACTGCGCAGCAGGTTTCACAGGTAAATCTATTAATTAATCATCTTGTGGTAACACTGACTCTTCAAACAAAACAAGGTAGTCATGGTCAATCAAATGAAGTGGTCTGCTAAGGTATAATTGATTACACCTTCATCTGGAAGAATAGTAGTATTGATTAGTATTGATTATTAAGGTTTTAAATTTTTTTATTTTTTAATATCCCATTGTATTATTTTTATTCAGATTTTTACAGTTGGTGTGATATCTCACAATTTTTGCTGACTTACCTAAGTGTAGATGTGGATGGTTTAAGTGTAGATGTAGATGTTTTACGGAGGCAGCATGGCTGAGTGGTTTAGGGTGCTGGTGTTGTAATCCAGAGGTCCCAGGTTGAAGGCCTCCACCCTACCACTAGCGGGATTTGTTTCTCGGTAGTCCTGAGTTCAAATCCTCGGTCCCACTTTGTAAATAGCCTACTGGTTAGCCAACTGGTTTGCCTCCTGCCAGTTGGGATTTTTAACTATGTTATGTTTATTTAAATATCTGTTTCCTTTGTTTCAGTGGCATGACTGTAAACTAGCTAAGCTTAGTGCTTGTATAGCTAAGTGCTTGACCAATATAAATAAGATTTATATTTTTTTTTGTTTAGACACGAGTGTTTTACTGGAAAATACACCACTCACAAAATCCATATGAAACCACATCTGGGACTCAACCCCCCAAGTTAACTGTTTTCCTTAGTGGCCATTTGGCCACTAAATGTTTATGTTTGGTCGTCAGTGAGAAATTTTGGTTGCCAAAGTATAAAAATTAATTAATAATTAATTGATCAATATTAATTAACAAATTGATATAATAAGTAATAACTAATTAATATGCTATCCCTAACCTAGTTCAATAAAAAGCGATTCAAATGATATATTTAGTCATAAAAATTACCATTTCCTTGATTGTGATTGGTTTAAAAAACTCCAATTTTCCCCTAATTCACTTGCCAAGTTGTTATTGGACAGTTTGTTATCAGACAGTTCAATTAGCCAATCACATTCAAAGTTGTAGTTACGTGTGTGTGTGCATGCACTTGCTTTTGTGTTTTTAGCGCCTAATTGCTGGTAGGAGGTGCAGTGGCCTTAGATTGTTTACATGTCCTTTGTAGGTATTTTAATGCAAATTTTTCCTTTCTTTCATAACTTGGCTATTCTTCTTTTCTCAGAAATTGTAATTTTTATGATTAATTGGTAATAAGACTTTGTGTTGTCCAATTCAGTCTGTAATCATACTCGTGATAAACAAATCAGACTCCTGCTGCGTGGTCATCTAATTTTGTTATCACTCTCGTGATAACTGACCGGATTGGACTCCACTCAGTCCTATTGCCATTACTTATTATTGATGATCACATAAAATCACAATCAATTCCTCTTGACGATTTGACAGGTCTTCCTGATCTCTGCTAAGCATGTTAGGTAAAGTGACTCGTACTCATCAAACAGAAAAGCTGTACTAGAGGAAAACCCGCTAGGAACAGACAATGACAGCAACAATATCTTCCATCAATCAACCGACCCTTCACACAAACTTACTGAGCTAGTTATGACATATACATGCCAAAAAGTCTGAGTATGTGTGATTTACTGTCATTTTTCACGCGAAAAAAACAACAAAATATTCAGAATTTTAACTTGCATTTACAGAGTAAACCACAAGTGTAGATGGCACAGATTATACCAAGTAGCAACTAGCTGGTGTAAAGTGTTATGCAGCATATCTAAACAGACCTGTCCGTTCGTCCAGGACAAGTACATGTACATCCTCCCCTTGGGCAAGTAACTTTCTCTACTTGTTTGCCCCACAGGCAACAGCCCAGGCAAACCATCTGCTGACTACATACTTTGATAATGATTTTGAAACAAAGAGTAAATTTTAGGTACACAGGTCAGGGTCCGAAATTGCGCTTTCCTGGAACATCCGCGAAGAAAGCAGATGGAGATGTAGATCTTCTCTGGGCATCAAAAGGTGGAAATGTAGATCTGTCAAAGTGGTCAAAAGATGATTTCAGCACTGGTTTGATTCCTGATTACATCGATTGCAAATGTTTTGCTGGCAAGCCCGAGGTGACCAAAAATTTTGTTTTGTGTTTCACTGCGAAGGAAAAATTTTGTTGACACTTTTTGGTGACCACATTTTTCCATATGGCAACTGAAAAAAGAAAATTCATTTGCCAGTTGGCGCCTGCCGAAAAAAGTTAATTTCGGACCCTTTAGGTAATCAAGTGATAGATGAAGCTTGAAAATATTACAAATTATAGTGTTGTTTTGTTTATTGTGTGATGCCTGTTCACAGTTCAGAAGTGGTTACCTAGCAGCGTTTCCGCCAGACCGTACCATTGCGGGAATCCCCCATTGCAATCACAGATGGCCCCCAGAAAAATGAATAAAGAGCCAATTTGGCCCTTTCCTTTTACAAGGCTGCAGGCTAAACACATTCATAGTATCTTAAAAGTCATCCCAGGGCTTGAAATTGCGACCAATACGGTCGCCAATGCAACTAACATTTCATCTTTGGTGACCAAAAATTCTGGTTTAGTCGCCATTACATTTTTCTGTGTTGACATTCAGTAATGGTTATTTTGTCGCACATTGTTTCCTTCTAGAAAATTATATCAAAAGATCTTTGCTTCTAAAACATTCAACATAAGAAAAGAAGTCAATCCATCCTCTCGCTTTGCTCAGTGCTGTATTGAAAAAAAAAACTTCCAAATGGCTAACCGTGTTTGAAATCACCTATAATGCATTGCAAACCTTTGATCATTGACTACGCAATGTACCGGGTATGCCTATGGATTTAAAAATTGAGTAAATGTAGTCAGGAGATGACATAATCGATAAAAGTGCCGTTTTTTGTCACTGACTTGTATATTTTAGCAAGACGTTTCGGCTAACTCTTAAGCCTTCATCAGTTGAAAACTGCTTGATGTTACGTGCAATTTAAAAACTTTTTAAAATTGAAATGTTGTGCGTTTCGGATATTGTTTGCCGACATCTCTGCTTATCTCTTATGTTAAAACTATTTTCAATCATTGATCTGGAGAAGTAGGCAGGAGTGGACTACGACTGCATTGCATTTTAACTTGTATTTTGGGGTAAATTAGTGTTTGATTCTAACAATGTTTTGACACTGTGAAATCTGTACATTCTGTAAAGTCAAATTGCCAACTCTTCCTGTTCATTGACATCTTTATAACTCTTTAAGAGTTGTAAGTTAACTCTGCGGTCATTATTTGTACCTTTATAACCCAATGGACTGGGAAATTGTTGATCCCGGCCTGAATATAATTGTACAATGCAGCGATCTCAACTGGCGACCCTCACTTCAAAATGGAAAAGATATATATACATCGCAGTCATCCAAATCGTAGCTAGATTGTAATGCTAGATGATACAGTTCTTTTACTTAAAAATCTGGTCCAGTTTTGATAAAATATGAATCACAAATAACCTGAAAATGTTTTGACTGCCCTCGAAGCTCAGTCAAAAGTCCCTTGAGTGTTTTAGTCTGGTTCCTGAAGTGACATCACTGGTAGCCCGACCCAGATCCCGCTTTGCACGGTCAGGGACATAGAAATTACATGTTTAAAGGCCTGTAGAAACGCAGGGACTTAATCAATCAAGATTATTATAGGGAAACTAGTAGTTGTTAGTAAAGGGAAAAATTTGGGGGGTTAGTGGCACTTTAACCAATTTTTTTTTTTTGGTGCATTTTTTAGTGACCATTTCAGAGGTTCTTGATATGAACAGGACTGTTTGATTAAGCTTTTTTACACTTTAAAAATGCTAATCTTAGACATCTTGAAGAGCGTTTCAGGTGCAGATTTATATCGGTTTGCACCATTTAGGAAATCAGTCAGAATTTTCAGAGTGACTCAGAAACCCGAGAAAGGGGACTTAGTTGAGTTAACATCCGAAACATTTCCTGGGAGAGAATGGCTCCAGACCCCTTTAGAACCTTGTGCCTTTGGCTCTCGTAATATGGGAAGTCGGTCTAGATCCAAGTCTATGTTTCAGGGATTGGGAAGGCAAAACGAGCAAATGAGCCTATGACCCATGGTATTGGAAAGTTATGGGCCATTTATAAAAAGTCTGGGCCATTAGGGTAAATAAATGGGCCATAAAAATTTTCAATAAACGATATGTAATTCTTGATTGCTTTTGTTTTATACTTTTTATGGGACTTCAAGCTAGGTTTAAGTATACAGTCACAGAATATAGCTAACACAAATTATATAACCTTTCACGGAGATTAAACTATGCATTCTGAACTGTAACTGATTAAACTTAACTTTGACAATACTCACACCGAGTCTGACATCAACATCACTAAGACATGCTCAGTTTTAGCTTTAGTGTGACAAGTAAAGTTGGATTTACAATTTAAAACTTGAGGTGTGCATGAACTGTACATAACACACCTGCAGCTCTCTAATAGTTAATGAAACTTAAACCAAAAATTTTTTATTCATTCCTGAAAATTAGGAGGCTTGGAAGCTTTGTCTTGATCTTTGTTTTCAGGATCACAATTCGTTGTGGCGGACTTGGCGTTCGTAGTGGAAAACAGCAACAATCTCCAAGTCTTTGCCAATTTTGGAACTTTCGCTTTTGGAGGCGTACTACTTGGCTAGTTACGGCATGTAAAAGAAATTCAAATCAGCGGATTTTATTGTTGTAAACAGAAAGCACATGGATTGAGCAAGAACCTTGTTTGTGAGCGAAGTGCATGTAAGGGGTCTGGGGAACGCTTTTATAACGTCTATTAAAGAGCAAAAGCAACTTGATTTCTCGTGTGTTTATTTGTCATTACACTGAAAATTTTACAAATGAGAATCCTTTCCACAAAATGGTGTATATTTTACTAGCTGCTTTGCGGTTAGGGCGCATCGCAGGCCTGGTAAGTACTTTCATAATGCATCATTTCGTTCGTAGCTTTATGCGCCATATGCGCATGGCACAAGGCCTTCCCAATCCCTGATGTTAATTCTATAGTCACCAGAAAAAACTGTAGGAAAAATGTTCTGTTTGAGGCTCTACTGTCCTTACTGAAGACTTGATCAGTTCAGTGTTTAATGTCCAATGTTTGTCTTACATTGATAATTTAATAATAATTTCATTATGGTATTGCTCTTATGTAAGTGGTTTGTGTCAATGGTAATCATGCGTATTGATTGGTTTCAACATAAAGTTGAATGCTGTAGGCCCACACAATAACACATTAACCGCCGAGTTGGCTTTTTGACTGTTACATTTATATGTACTGCACAAATACAAACTTCAACCTCAGAGTAAGACGAGAATCAACATCAAACCATTTCTGACATCAGGTCTGAGTTGGGCCACACTGGTTGGAGCCGAGTGGTTTCGCCACTGCGCCATCCCTGGTGCCCCAAAAAGTGTCGGATCCTCCATCTGATCTCCCTTGTAGTTAAATATTTAAGCTCAAGCAGCATACGCTGTAAGATGTCGATGAGGAGTGCCTTTTATTAACAAAATGTCCTAACAAAAGGTGCTACTTAACAGCACCTTATCGTATCTGCATACATTGCTTATGCTTATGTGGTAGTGAAAACTGGCTTCAGCCACATGGCATTTTAATGTCCATACAGCAGGATAAATAAAATGTTTTATTTGTTTCTCCTAGGTTCTCACTGTGAAGTTGATATAGATGAGTGTTTACCTTCCCCTTGTGTTCATGGTACTTGTATTGATCAAGTAAACAGTTTTAAGTGCCACTGCTCACCAGGCTATGCTGGTATCAAATGTGATTACAACCTCAAGGAATGCTTTTCCAACCCTTGCTACAATGGAGGAAGTTGTGTCGATGAAGTGAATGGCTTCAGATGTGATTGTGGACCAGGATACAAAGGGGATCACTGTCAGATTGATGTAGACCTCTGCAAGGAGCCCATGATGTGCATCAATTCACTGTCTTGTATAGACAAAGGTCAAAGTGTTGAGTGCACTTGTAAAGCAGGCTTTACAGGTTACAACTGTGCAGTTAATATCAATGACTGTCTCTCACATCCCTGTAAGAATGGTGGCACTTGTAGAGACAAAGTAAATGATTTTGAGTGTATCTGCCCTGATGGGTTTTCGGGAAAGGCATGTGAAGGTGAGTTATTGTAATTGATATTTACAAAAAGTTTGAATGTTTGCACAAAATGTTTCAGTTTGTGAATGCAAGATAAATCTGTAGTGCTGTTTCCGTTTTTAAAATACAGTCTTCCAGTGTTTCCGCCAGAGCGCACCATTGCGTGAATCCCGCATTACTATCAGAGATGGCCCCCAGAAAAACGAAAAAAGGGCCAATTTGGCCCTTTCTTTTTACATGACTGCAGGCTTAACACGGGCATAATATTTTAAAAGCCATCCCAGGGCTCGAAATTGTGATCAATACGGTTGCCAATGCAACAAGTAGTTCATCCTTGGCAACCAAAAATTCTGGTTTAGTCGCCATAAAACGGCATAATGGCGACTACATTTCTCTGTGTTGACGATGAATAACGGTTATTTTGTCACACATTATGTCCTTCTAGAGAAATCATATTGAAAGATCTTTGCTTCTAAAACATTCAGCATAAGAAAAGGAGTCAATCTGTCCTTGCGCTTTGCTGTATTGATTCTCTCATATCGGAAAACTTCCAAATGGCTGACCGTGTTTGAAATYGCCCTATAATGCATTGCAAACCCTTGATCATTGATTACGGTATGTAGGCCTAAGGATTGTTCTCTTGTAATGCACRGATCCTTCATACTAGTATCTGATTCAAAAGAAACTTTATTGAGTAGAAACCCTTCAAAAAGCACTTACTATTAAATTTTATCTTAGATCCTAATAAATTGCTTTATTTTCCTTGGTACCCTGATGCAGTGACCCCTTTCCTAAAAAATTGGCCCCTATAAAAGATCATCAGGGGGGCCACTTTGGCCCTCAAGTGAAATTTTCTGCCTGAAACACTGGTCTTCTCGTTGAAACATTTCTTGGAATTGATACTGATTTGAAACTTTTTTTCTGTCAAAACCAAACAAATTTATGGACATCTAGTCAGCTTTCATTAACATTCAGGAGGGCAACTGGTTTTCAAAGCAGGCGGGCAAAATTGTCCTCACAACTGATCAATAGCATAGCACACTGATGACATCACGTAAATGTAACCCCCTGTGTGACCAGGCAAACAAACCATTCCATGGGCTACTTCTTTGAGAGCGACGTATGGAACAACAGTGCTTGTGAGCTCGTCAGTTTGATACTCAGCAATTAAATTTGTAATTTGATGGCCTCTCTAGCTCAAAATGTTGGAGAAAGCCCACTACACGTACCTTGGAATAATAATAATAATAATAATAATAATAATAATAATAATAATACAGAGTTTGAAGGAGGGCGGCAAAATATGATGGGCTTCTCATGTATGAAGGCTGTTTATGAAAACACTCCTTATGTCCATAGCAGAAAAAAATATCATTGTACCTGAAATTCAGGTGTATCACTCACAAGAAAGCCAGCAAGCCAGCAAAGAAATACCATGATGAAACTGGCCCACTCTGTCTTCGCATATAAAAAACAGTTTTAGCCCATACTATTTATGTTACATGTATCGTGCCAAACATATCTATGAAATATGTGCAGTTGTGGTCTGCTCACAGCCACAGATTTGTTTATGTGGCCGGATAAATGGCTCTATTAAAATCTAGGTCCTCCAAATTGTACGGTACACCCAATTCTGCTAGGTATTTGGAATTGTCTCATTATGTCGTCCTGTTCCGTTGTATTCATTTGAGTGGATCGCTCGGCTGCGATGTCAAATTTGGGAATTTCTGGCAATAAGTCAGCTAATAAGTCTTCTCTTCAAGACCAGGATAATTTCTTCATAATACTTTTCCTTCTGACATAATATGTTTCCCTGTGAAGTATTCTGATCGTCTGTTTGCAACTGCCGCACTAAAAGTTCTCCTCGACTTCCAATTCCTGAGGGTTTTGGCATCTGTCCAATTGTCCCAGCAGCTTTGTGAGATGCTTGTGCAATTTGTGGCATTTAGGCTCTTTTCTGGACACCTTGAATCTGTTTTCCATTACGCACAGCATCAGTGTTTGCTTTCTAACATTATTTAAGCTAATCACAAACCTAGACCACCAATCTTTCCTTTTTTTTGCCTGATTTCTGGTCTAGAAGACAACATGCTCTTACTTCTACCAGACTGTAATTCTTGTCTGAGTCACTGGGGGTCTCTAGTGATGTAATCTATTTTTAGAAAGTGAGCTCGATGCCATTTGCCTGGTGCCCTGCCCTTAATGAAACCCCTGGCGAGTTATTTTTTTTCTTTTTTTCTTTTTTTCTTTTTTTTAATTATACATTTAATATTTACAATACTAACCTTACTTACATTACTAACAATACTTACAACAGCAAAAAAGCTACTTACAGTACTGACACTACTTACATAACATTTCATCCCAAATATACAATGTTCATTTTTTAACATTCAAAGAAAACACTTTAATGACAGTTAAAGAAAGGAAAAACAAAAAGAACGGTCTAGCTGCACAAAATAACTAAATAAACAAAGCAAGACAAGAATGAAATTGTGGCCCTTAATTAACTATTTAACAAAGGTAGGAGAGTTGTCCATCTTGCTTGGAACTTTCTTAACGTTTTGTCTGCTATGGCAGCCACTTTGTGTACGAGTAATTTTTCTTTTAATAATGCCAAAGGAAAAAAGGAAATGTGGAGGGTTTGGAGTCTGTTCTCTGTCTAAAGATATGAAATTTTGCGATTAAGATGTAGTTATTTAAGAGATAACACTTTGGATCTTCAGTGTTGTACCTGTATAAAATCTTAAATCTGTTAAAGGAAACATTGCAACTGGATTTGTGATTCCACCATGTAAAAACATTGAACCAGTAAGCTCTAAGCTCTGGTAGTTATGTTGCAAGTAAATGTAACAATATATTTTTATTTGTTACAAATGGTAACTTGATACCTTTGTTTTTCAGTGAACGTCAATGACTGTCTCTCACATCCATGTAAAAATGGTGGCACTTGTAGAGACAAAGTAAATGATTTTGAGTGTATCTGCCCTTATGGGTTTACAGGAAAGGCATGTGAAGGTGAGTTATTGTAATTGAACTTCTTATTCCGCTATTTCTGATTTTACATAAAACTTGTCAAAATACTTTGTTTTGGAGTATTTTTTTTTATAAAAGAAATCCCTCTTAGTTGTGGGGTCTGGGCTATGTTATGAGTGAATTAGTGACTGAGAGATGTATATGACTGTTGTATGTATGTCACACCAATCAGATTGGCACTACCATTAACAACCAATCAAATTGCCACTTACAAAGGTGAAACTTGTGTAAAGATTTTATCCCAATTTTAGAACGGCCATGTTTGGTTTTCTTCAAACAGGAGCAGGTATTCTTGTATTGGCCTTATTCTGATGATTCCGATGCTCTGTTTACTGTGGTTAAGCCAGGACTTTGTCGGTTGGCTTCAAAAATTTTCAGAATTCGATGATCAGCTTAGAAATTAAAGTCTTTGGCGTACACTAACATGTGATGAAGGCTTTGCTTTTCGCATTACATGAAATTTTGAATGGAAAAATTCTTAGCTGCTCGACAACTGGGAGGTTTCAAGGGTAACAACAAAATTTATGTAATGTTTTTAGTGTAGAATGCACTACTGGAATGGCAAGGGACTTTTTTCCATGATGGTATTCGCCAGGTTTCAATTGATAATGTTTGCATCAGGTGCAGTTCACAACAAGCCTGGAAATAACAATCAGTCATCGGACAATTGTCCAGTAAATTTGAGGTTTTGACAGGTAAAAGCTTAGTCTGGTCAGACATTCTGACCAGGCATTAAAAAAAATTTTTTTAACTGGAAATTTGTGGCTGATTTATGGAACAAGTTATTTTATTATACTGCCACACAATACTATGCAAAAAAGCTTTGTTATCAGTTTCGTTTCATTCCATTCCTGAGAAATAATTTTATCACATGCAATGCCTCGTCTCAAAATTATGTTGTGTTGAATTGTAAACACACCACATCAGCGCCACTATTCAGGCTACGTGTTAATTTATGTATTTTGCGGTCACGGTGGTGTTGCAAAAGATCATGAAGCCCCATTTAGTCTGAATTACGTTGTCTGAAAAACTACTAAAATCTGAGGTGTTATGTTGTTACTCATTGTTTGTTATCTGCAAGTGTTGTGGAATTAATTTTCGGTTGTAATTTGACCTGATTAAAATATTATGCAAATTGGATACACAGCCCAAATTCTCACGTTTCATTATCTGAATGCAATCGCTTTCAAAAACTTTAAAACCTCTAAAACATAACCAAAAATGTTTTTGTAGTCTGTACAATCAAAAATCAGTTTTATAGCTCTTTATAGTTTTTTTTCTTATGTCTGTGTTTCAATATAGTTTGAATTGGTTTCTGTGCCTCAGACATGTTTTTGTGAAAAGCGTGAATGTACAAATTAGTCATGCTTCATAGTCACAACCACTTCCAATTCGAATTTCATCTAATTGCGCAAGTATTCAATTCAAGGCTGTGCTCTAATGGCACCCGGTCACCTCAGGCGACCGGCTTCCATCTTGGGGCAACAAGAAAAACATACCGAGTTGCGCGGCCTTGCCTTCAAAAAAAGTCAAAGAATTCATTTCAGCCAATTTTCAAGTCTCTGAATGTTATTGAGTTTTTATACAGGCCTGCAAGCTGTCCATGCGGGATTTTCCTGTGGTTTTCCTTAGACATTGTGGGAAACTTGATATGTGGGAAAATACGTAATATACGTGTGACCAAGTGAGTGAAGGCAAACTAGGGCAAGGCTACTGCCTAATGGGCGCCTGGTCGCCGGAGGCGCCTAAGTTTCGAGTGCTGGCAACTAAATTTTTGTTCAAGGAGCCTGAGTGGGCATCTAAACATGGAGTTTTCATTTGCATTTAATCTGTCTGATAACTTCAATCTATTGTATTCAGGAATTATCACAAATTCCTGACAGTAACTTTGTTCCACTGGCTTAGAAATTCACATTAACAATCCTCCCAACGTTGATCATACACTGCAGGCTAACGCTCATTCTGACCAGCTGGATGTTTCTCATGAAATTGGTTATAAAACCAGCCACACAGTAAATTAAACTGAAAGCAACAGTTGCCCTACTCTTGTTTTGCTTTTATCACTAGAAATATGGCCCAAAACATGGCAACAAAGTCTCTCCAACTCGAAAACAGTTTTGAATAAATGTATATCATGTATGCCAATGGTTTGTGTCTCTGTTGATGAATTACTGACGAAAGGGCAATTATAACTATTTTGACAACAGATTTTTTGAAAATGGAGTAACGATGCTGTTGATACTATATTGACAGCTTTTCATTATGTAAAGGCTGTGATTCCAGTATAGTTCAATGTGCACATGTGCATAAGCATTGCTTTACAGTGCCACGTTGTCAGATGTAGTTGGCAAAGTGTTTGTTATTAAACAGCATTTATTTAGAGAAAGACTCACAGTTGTTACACTGGTGATGAGGAAAACACACTCAATTAAGCAACAGAGGCAGAGAAGAAAGCAAGAGAAACCTAGCAAGCAAAGTTTGAAGCCCAGCGAGAGAGGCAAGCAAGCAAAATACTACAACATGTGAATTGATTGATCGACAAAACATGTCTGACACAAAATAAACAGATGCTGGCTCAGCAGCCCCAGTGCAAGTTATTACGGTAACAAGAAATCTAAAATCTCAGCCATTTATCCCCAGAGATGACCCAATAGTCAAAGGAAAAGTGTGGGACAAAGAAATCGAACAGGAATTCAGATATTTTGAGATTACAGAACTACTTAACAAGAAAGATGCACTCATCATTTATGGCGGGAAAGAAATCGCTCGCCTGGAGAAATGTTTGCCAAACCCATGATGGCGATAACAACTACAAAAAGTTGAGAAAGAAGCTGAATGACTACTTCAAGTCAAAGAAAAATAAACACCATGCAAGATACGTATTCCTCAAAATGAGACCAGCACATGACGAAACAACGAATGCATATGCTGCGCGTTAAAAAGAAGAAGCCAACGACTGTCAGTTCGAAGCCAACTGTGATGAACGAATGTTGGAACGCCTCATCCAAACAACACAGCATTGCTTGCTCATCCAAAAAGCCATCAACAAGAAATGGGATTTGACATGGTTTTGAACTGAAGCTGCTCAAATTGAAGATACATCTCTTCAAGTAAGTGACATGAAAATTCCTCAAGATGTGAAGAAGCTTGGATGACAAGTGGCGTCTACCCAAGAACAAACAAAGCGGTCGGAGAAAGCAACCCTGGGGATACTGCTGACAAACAGACACACATGAGGAAGGCAAGAACTGTCCAGCATATGGGAAAAAATGTATGAAATGTCAAAAGTTCTCACTTTAGTTCTGTGTGCAAGTCCAAAGGCCCGCACAACAGCAAGAAAGGCAAAGGGCAAAAATACAATCACAAGCCACCAGAGAATCCAAGGCACAAGCACCACGTAAAGAGAACCACTGAAGAAGAAGATGCTGACAACTTGGCAAGTTCCAATGATGAGTTCTTCTGTCAAGCCATAAGACACCTGAAGCAAGTGTAGAAAATCAAAGCAGATGGTGAGGACAGAACTGTATCAGTGAAGATAGAAGATGTTGATGTAAGAGCTGAGCCCGACAGCGGAGCAGAAGTAAATGTCATGGATGAACACCAGGTTAAAGCACTGACAAATCAGTCCAGTGTGAAACTTACACTACAACCAAGCTGAATAAAGTTAAGTACCTTGCAGAGTGAGCTACCAGTGAAAGGAGAGTTTACAGCCACTTTAAGGAACCAGACCTGGGAAGCAGTTGGAAGATTTGTTGTGACGAGACGAACAATCAATTCCCCACCCCTCATCAGCAAAAGTACCCTTCAAGAGCTGGGTATGTTACAGATCAGAGAAGATGGTTCTTTCGCCAAGACCAATGACCTGAGACACCAGGAAGAACCACTAGGCATCAAAAGTGTCAAGCAAGATAAGGATCTCAAACCTGAAATCAAGAAAAGAACCAATCAATACAGTGATGTATTTAAGGGCATCAGGAAGATCAGAGACATCAAGAATCTATGCAAAGTTCAGCATGAGACCAGAAGCAGTGCCCGTAGCTCAAAGACTGAGACCAGTGGCTTACTACCTGCAAGAAGCATTGAAGAAATGAAAACTTACCTCATGTCCAACACAGAATGATACCCGCAGGTTTGACTTCAGAATCTGTGCGGGCAAGGTCAGATCTTTGCTGAAAATGCCATTTTGACCTTAGTTTAGGTACCACTTTTGAGATTTTAATTCTTGCATTTAATCAATTTTCGGTTCCTTCTGACTAGCGACGTGGTAGGGTGTCTTTGATTTTCCCTGCTCTACGTAATTTTTATCCAATCTTTACGAAATATTGGTGTAAAGCAGTTCAAATGTACCTGAACACTGTGGTATCGTCAATATGGAACAACACGTACTTGAGTTGAAGTGGCGCGGCCTGAAAAATTTGCACATTTTGACTCTTGAATCGGCCTTAAGTCTCCCCTCGGATGGCTGAAGTCATTTTGGCGTTGGGTAAAAACAAAAAGCAAGTAACTTAAAAAAAACAACCCAGTTTTATTATACACTCACTGAGTCCTTTCGTTCCACACAATAAAAAGGCAAACTTTTGTCTGATCTGAAGTTCGACCGGACTACTCTTAGGCGGACTGTCACTTTAGCAGGGCTGTCATTAAGTTTTGAAGCAGCCGTTGCATGTAAGTTATCACCC